TATGTGCTTCCTCTGCAAGAGCAGTAACACCAACATCACTAAAGCTAAAGGGAAAACAGAAAAGCCTCTGTGCAGCCCTGGTCCCACCATCTGTCTGGGGTTTGCTATTGACTTCCTGCAGAATCAAGAAGTTATATGTGGAGTCTGAGAAACATCCCAAATCTCAAAGTCATCCAGATGTCTCACAGACAAGACTTATGGTCAAAGCACTATATTTTAATTGTTTCGTTAAAAAATATATTTCACACATTGTATTAACAAAAGGTCACTGAGAAAGCTATCAAGAAGGGGTTTAAAAATTAATTTAAAAATCCATTTGGTATGACATTTATCAAACTAAAAAAGTAAATGCTAGAAAGTATATCTTGTCATTCTTCTGTTTTCCATAGTCAGCTTTTCATTGTATCTTTTAAGCAAAATGTAAGTCTTCCTTGCTATAAACAAACAAATAGGATTTAAGGAAAGTCAACAGAGGCTGAATTGCCCTCAGATGAATCCATCTGGTTTAGATTAGGGTAAGCACAAGACTTATTAGTAGGAACTATGGGAAAGCTTGAATTGTGACTAAAACAACTCAGATTTTTCACATAAAACAAACATAACTCCTTTAACTTCAGAGTATGCACCCATTTGCACATGCTGTGGGTGAACCCTCCCCGCTCCGAACCTCATTGAACCAGGCCATAAACTTATACCTAACTTTAAATTTGTGAATGTTCTCAGGCACAAATATTGGACTTTTGATAAATTTACAATTTTATCTACATATGCTTTGAAAGTCTTACTTAAGTCACTTTCAGTTTTCCAGTGCTCCAACTTTTCCAATTTCCTAATGGTGCATTTCTTAATATCTTTTTAAAGCAACTTAGGAACTGGTAAAGATTCAAGGAGCCACAATATTTGCCTTATAACCAGTACCATTTGTATATATTTAAATTAGAACTACGGCATGGCAAGGATTTCATTTTGCATAAGATGAAAGAAAGCGCAATTTGCAAAACAAACTATTTCACTGTGATGTCTTTATAGCACATGGCATGGCTACTTTACCACTTTTATACAGTACATAACACTGCATAGTAATAACAGTCAATTGAAAGCATACAGCAAGTCCTCTTTTTTCCACAATACACAATACATGCAGACACTTCTAAGAGGTGTTCAAGGTATTTTCAGTAGTTTTAATATTTTACCTTCTCAGCCAGATAAAACGCATTTAGCAAGCCTGAACTCCCCTCGCCCCTCTGCTTCTGTGTTAAACTGAGTGGCAATGCTGAGCACTGCTAGCATGTTTTTTCATTTGAGTAGTAACCTTATATTCACTTGTCAGGTCTAGAATTAAAAACAATATAAAACTATTTATTAATTAAAGTTGTCAGCTGTCCACTACAAATCAGTTGTCTTACCCAGAGTTATTCCAGCTCCCTCCCCTCCACAGTACTTGCTGTCTGGTCAGACTACTTATCACTGCTGCTGGTGATTATTTTTTGTAATCTTTCACAACAGGCCACTTGGGTAAAGCAGCTGATTACATCTTCACCTTTTGCACTTTGGTTCCAACCCTAGTCTTCCCCTCCCTGGACCCTCCTCTGGATCCTTAATTACTGTTCCTCTTCACAGCTCCCAAAGCCCATGAGTATTATTTTGGTTTAAGCAGCACCCACACTATCCTTCGAAGACACAGTCCTGTTCAAAAAAATTTATATTCTATATAATGGATTTTCACACTTGAACTCCAAACATATATTAAAAATTTACGATGTCCTGCACTTCTGACCCCCAACATTCAGCCCAGAAGTGTTTTTGCAGCCATAAGTGACATTACAAGGTAATACATGTGAGTTTGGGGAGAGAGATGAGAAGAGCAGAAATCAACTCATATTTTCTCTCTGCAGACAATTCCACTACTAAAACTAACCATATATAAAAACTATGGATCCTGGAGAAACGTTTGTAGGTACAATGTCTCCTGAGGTTTGGCAGCCATACGCTGGGGTGTATTTTGGTGCCTACAAGGCACTGGGCACACAACGTCGGCCACCCATGCAAAGGTTTGCTCTGTGTCACCCCCCTGGGTTCTGCCAGCACCAGCAGAAAGCCACAGGCACCTTTGGCAGACAAGGCAAGCTAAGACAGACATCCAAGGTGAGAACGACAAAGCACCTCTTAGAGGTGCCTGTTGCTCTCCCACAACTACAAAGGAAGCCTCAGTAATTAGCTTAGAATAAACACTTGTCTTTTTGGCAGCTAAAATAGTTGGGATGAACCCCAGCCTTTACCTGTGTCCGTCTTCCCATCTTCAGAAAATTAGTCATGCTCACTTTGTATGTAGCACTGAGTTAAATCACCGAGAAGTAATGTGCTTGGGTAACAGTTCAGCACTTGGTTCAAGAACCCCTTTCAGTAAGAAAACAAGGCAAAAGTATAGTTTCTCAGTGAAACAGAGGTGTTTACAGAGTGGTCAAAATAACTCGTATCACCACTGAGAGTGTAAAGTTCCCGGGAAAGGGGCCATGTTTTTCTTCTGTATTTGTGCAGTATCTTGCCTAAACAGGGGCTGAAGACTTCAAGATGTAGTCACATTATACATAATAAATAGTCTATTCAATGCCGTCCTTTCTACTGCAATTATTCTTGCTCACGAATTCCTCTAGCCACATCAGCTTTGCCTCACAGGCAGATGGGAAAGGTTAAAGACAGACATTTCTAAAAGTATGTGTATCCACAGCTCTCTGCTTGGTTAATCTCAACCATAAACTCTGTCTCCTACTTCAGGAAAGAATAGCCAAAATCATCTCTCTAACCAGGGTTTTGGGAAAAAAATAAATAAATAAAATAAACTTTTCTAGAGGAAAGGAAGTTCGGACTTGACAATCAATAGAAGTTGTAGAATCCCAGCCTGCAAAATTGTAAAATTAAGTGAGATGAGCATCGGACAACAATGTCCTGCAGTGGATTCTGTCCTAGGCAAGGGCTATACCAGCTGATTCCTGAAGTCCCTCCAATCCCACTTCCTTCAACACCTGTGATTCCTTGGGGAAAAAGCGTAGGGGAAGCACTTTCTGCCTCACCCGCCCAAACAGTTTCATCAGACACAAGGCTCTTAATAATACAAAAGGCAGCAGTAGAATTCAAACAGACACAGACAGCACAATATGGGAAGAGATGCACAATACAGCCTTCAGTAACTACACTTGGGCTTAAATTAATAAATTTTAAAAAAAACAAAAAAGAGAGAGAAAACAACTGAAGCCTAGCTTCTCTCCAAAAAACTGCTTCTAAATCTGAACTGTACTTGCAGATGACTGGATCACATCCAAGCAGCCTCCAACAGTGTTTGTCCTTTCACTAAAGGTCACTGTTTTCCAGGCTACTGAGTTTTTTGCACATTTCTAGATCACACTTAAGCTCTGTTGCATTATACGCATTTTTTTCTTCACAGGGGTTAAATGAGGCAATTCAGTTTATCTTAGAATACTGCCATGGTTAGGGAAAATCACAGCTATCAGTCATCACAGCTAAGCAGGAAGAAATCTGGAGCTGGCTGTTAGTGAATTATTTAAGACAAGAATAAGGGCAGAGAAGGAATGAGCAGAGAAATCAAAATACTTCTTTCAGAGAGTGCAGGCTTCTTAACTCAGTAGCTTTCCCATTTTTTTTCTGCATTTCTGTGATATACACAGAATTTAAAAGATAATTAAAAGGTAACACCATATGCCTTACATTGGCCAAACTGATCCCTAACACATGGAGCAGCGTTTTAGAGAAAAGCATTCATAGCAGCAGTTCCTCATAAATCATAAAGAGCTAAATGGGCCATTTTTTTCCCTTTTCTCAATGTAAGATCATCAGAGAAGAGTGGCATCAGTGAAGATTCACTGGATTTAAAGGGGACCCCTCAAAGGTGGGATGTATGTACATTCATAAATTTCCATATGAGAGGAGGGAGGAATCACGTCTCCATCCCTTTTCTGGAAGGAAACACAACAGCCACCCTGTAAAAGTAACGCTAAACAATGGCACTCTTAATTATTTATTTCTGATGATCTTGGAGCTCAACCAGCTGCACCTACCAAGCAATATCAGGTAGTGTTTATGTATAACAGCACATAGGGCATTATGTTAAAATTAAAGCTGTCTAGCACCAACATACCTGGTCTTGCAAGATCTGTTACGTCTTTAAGTGAAAACCACACATTCTATTTATACACATTTCACCATTAGTCACACTCCCCTGTTCACTACCACGTGAAAATGGTTTAGGAATAAATCTTAGTCAAAACCAGTCATCATATTCTTCTTAGCACGATTCCACAGATAGTCACAAATCTGTAATGAACTTGCTTTCAAAGGTAACATGCAACTCTATAAAGCTCTTTCATTTCCCCAAGAGTTCTTAAAATATACACAGAATACAGGAAATCAACATCAATGCTTAAAATCCAAGTGCAATGACATTTACAAGCATGTGGCTCTGAAGCAACCTTCTGAACACCCTTCTTTACAGCAAACTGTTTTGCAGCACATCTAACCTGAAGATTAATACTCTCCATCACAGTCTATCAACAGCATCTGCCGAACTGAACACAGCCTTAGAAGTTTAGCACTAGACTTGAGGGTCAAGTTCATCTTTTATATAATCCCCATCAAGCTCCCAGAGTTTCGTATGTGACAAATTTGGCCTTTTATGATTTTCTAAAGGGGTCATCAGGTATATGACAGCCAAATAACATCACCTGCATACGTGAAGATAAAACAGGCACAAAAACATCTGAGGAAAGGATCTCACTATCTGAGAGAAGAAAGCAAATTCCTTGTGATATCTGACAGAACATCATTCAAAGCTCTTTTTCAGCTCTTCAGCTCTTCAACCGTGGTTTAGAATACTATTAGCTGATCCTCTCTAAGATAAATATATATACATCTCAAATTTTATCTTTCTCTCTCTTTATCCACACACATGCAAACAAAACTCAAGCATCTGAATTATCGCTACTTACTAGACAAGCCTGAGGCAGGAAGCTGTTCACCCTGGAGATACTCCACATGCCCTCAAGGTACTGCTGAGCTTGGATGGTGACTGAGCTCAGAGCGCCGCTGAGACCACTGGGGGCCACCGTGACTTGAACGCTGGAGTTCGGAAAACTGCCGGCACCTTGAGACCATCCAAGTCCCTTCTTCCTCTCTGCCCCAGAGAAGAGATTCGGTGACTTTCCAGGCTGCCTGCCCACCTGCCCAGCAATGAGTGGCAGGTCTCTCTGGGAAGAGACAGTGACCATCCTGGGTACCATGCTAGTCACTGCCCCAGTGCCAGAAGGGACATCGGGCATTTCTGGGTAGCTGGTTTGATTGAGGGTGTGCATCATCTGAATGGCTTCCTGCTTCAGCTGATTCAAGTGAGTGGCACAAGTTTCGCATCTGCTCTCTCCTTCATTCCTGTTTTTCTGTAAATAGTCAGGCACTTGAAGCTTGTCAAAAATTAAAGCTGATAATCGTGGGTCCTAAAGAAGTGAGGAAAGGCAGAAAAACCATACTGAGTTAAAACAATGCAGAAAGATAAAAAGAAAGAAAAAGACAAAAGTTCTCTGTGATTTGCTCTCCACCCATGGAAATACTTTAAATTTATTCTGGTAACTTTCAGGCTTTTTTTCCCCTAAGTACTCTAAAAGACTCAAAGGTTGCATAAACTAAAAGTAAATTCATTTGTATTAGACCTAGCATGAAAATTATCATCAGAATCAAACAGTGGAGCTGTGGTGTACATGATAACTACCCAGTCTTCTAATTAACTCTCCTTTGGAGACATCTAATGTGCCTGTGTTTCCCATGCTCAAGAACGTTAGTTGAGATGCTGAACCTCCAAACGTCTTAATGTGTTCCAAAGGCATACCACCACCTTAAATCCAGGAAAATTAGACTTTAAAGCATTTTAAAAATTAGTGCATGACTTGGTAACGTTTTGTTGTCCTCACCCTCAGAAATGATTAATCAAGCGGCATAAAAAAGTTTTACGTGGTGCTGCCCACAGCTGGCTCCTCTGCTAGTAAGGACTGTTATTTCTGATCTTTGCAACCCAGATGGTCGTAATATTCCCTCACGCTACAGTTGCTTTGATGAGAAATAGATTTGAGCCTACAGCCATGTGTGAAGGTGTGACAATGTGCACACTAAGAAGCTGATTTAAAAGCAACACCTATTTTGTTTCCACAGAGTAATTTCCCCCGTCCCTCCCCCTCTAGTTCATTTTAAGGCTGCCTAGACATTTTAAAACCAAGCTCTCTGTTTCCAGTTCAGATATAGAGTTACCTATCTCCCGAAACACACAAACGCCTTCCCATCCCAAGCCTGCTACTGTAAAGATTAGTCAAGAGATTAAATCCAGCCCTGTTGTAAATCTGCTATCAAGACTAATGCCATGCAGTAAAACTGACCCAACTTCACACACACTCTTGTTGAGCTCTCTAAACAATTAAGGTTTTAATGAAATCACAGTGCAGCCAAAAGTTTATTTGTGTAATTATTTTAAGTGAAAATATTTAATTTGCTTGTTAATAATGAGGGCACACAAAGCTAGTAAGTCAGCCATCCAACATATGCTGGGGGTATCCCCAGATCAGTAGTCATTTTAAAAAATGTATTACTTTATGCCAAGCTGCAATTGCTCTCTAGGAAATTAATGTCCTATTAGAAAACTAACTAATTCTGGTTTTAATTACAGCAGACATCAATAAAACTCTTTTAAGAAAGTCTTGGCACTGGTACTTTGGCTTATTCTCTTTCAATTGCGCTATTTCCCTTTGCTCTGAATTCAGAAAGTCCTAAACACCGGCTAACTTCTGCACCAGCAGCCTGAAATTTATCTCATTTTCAGCTGCTGGACTACTCCTGCAATAGTTTTTAATCCATCTCACAAGACACAGTACAGTGTGGAAAGAAACCATTGTAAGCATAACCAGTGTCACAGCACTCTGAAGCCAAAAGCCATTAACAAAGTTGCGCTTTCCAAAATAATCTAAATTATTGTTTATCTACTGACTTAAAAAAAAAATACTTCTCAGGGCAAGGAAAGCTACTCCTACTGCTGACTGAACAATAAATTGCATTCACATTAGTGAACCAGTTTAGAAAATCAAGTGAAAGACACTGTTTCATTTTTGTCTTCTCTCTTTATTGAGGTTTAGATCCTGGTAAAAATGCCTTTGCGGTTGCACCATTTGCCTACCCTCATGAGCAAGAAAATTCTTTCCTTCCAAACCTCCCAGAAGACGATAATACTAAATTAACAGATATTAGTCAGAAAAAAAAAGTAATTAATATTTTAGGAACTTTTCTCTAACCCTTCAGCAGAAAGTGCTACTGGTTAGACTTAAAAAACATCAAGACTCAGTGCTGCAAGCACTACTAAGCCTCAGGCAAAACAAAGGCCATGAAGTCTATCTCCCAAGAAAAACAAACAGCACCGCTCCACAGAAACCTTTCCAAGGGAGAGCCCTGTGAGTAAATTCTTGCCGAGGCTGACACACAGCATCTACTCAAACAGCCCCAGACACAGCACCTTCCAGTGCCAGGTGCCCCATCCACAGCCAGGCACATCCCTGGGCTTTCTCCTTTGATCCAATTTGGGCACACAAGGAAGCACCTGCAGGTCCCGATTGTGCGAGCCTCATCTGGCAATGTTTAAAATTGCTATCAAATGTCAAAAGTTTCAAATAAGCAATTAAAGCGAATTACTATGTGAAACAGGCTTCTCATTTAAAAGAAACTACTTCTTTTGATGTAAAGAAAATTAATGACCCCAATTCTAGCTCCATAAACACAGTTTACAATGTTAGGCAGACCAGAGTCAGGCCTGTCTTGTGGTTACAAGGAAACCAAGTGGATGCGATATTAAAGGGGGGGAAAAAAAAAATGATTTATTTAGAAAATTACACAGAGCAAACCATATAAGCACACAGTATGTCAAATTTAAACCTTCTAATTTATTTACAGGAAAAAAAAAAAAAGGAAAGAAAAAAGCCATCTCATTTCCAGTGCTTGTATTTTGCCAAGCATTTACAAGGAGTCTTTTAACTCACTTATCCAGCCTCTGTGATGCCCAGTTTGCATCTGTGGCCACCTTCGTCCAGCACCGCACCAAGGGCCCAGCTGTACGGTTAGATTACTTTTATTTTTCCACTCTGTGCAACAAAAACACCTGGCTAATGGTTGGGTGTGAAGGGCAGAGGAAACACAAGTTACTGTTAAAAACATTAACCGTAACTTAAAAGTTAAGCCAGCCCCATTAAAGGGGTTTTACTACCCGGTGACAATGCTTGATCCCAGGGAGCCCCTGCTTCGGCAGCTCACACCCTAACAAGGCTGGGGTAGAAGTTACACTCTCATGTTTTACAGAGGGAAGAAATAAAACTTGAGTGACCAAATGTGTTAGGCACACACGTGGGATGGGAGGAAGCCATTAAAGCCATCCTTGTTACAGCTCCGCCACGGAGAGACAAGCCAGACAAAGGGGGTGTGCAAGTCGCTGGGGGGATTGGCACAAAAATTAAACATACAACATACAAGCCTCTATTCCAAACAGTGCTCCAAAACCAATTTAGTCCACTCTGCTACAAAGAAGATGAGTCCTTTATTCCTGCACAGCATAACCAAACTATGCTGTCTTTGTCACATCTACTTTCCAAAGGCCATTCTTACCTTCTGAACAAGTAGGATAAGCAAAATACTGTGATGGTCTAACATTTACAGCTTCCCCTCCCACTACAGAAACCAAAACCCTAATTTCAGTCTCAGCTTGTTAACTTTTGCGTACAAATTTTAGATATTCAAACATCACAGACTGTTAAAAGGGTAAAATAAATGGTCCCACTAGGGACAACTCCACTGGGAAGCCCAGCAGCCTCCAGCAAGGTCAAGGCACAAGATAATTATATGTACTTACGTGAGGAAGAATTTAGTGAAATGCCTGAATTTACCACTGTTTTTCAGCAAGTGGTTCTTACAGACACAAACAAACTTGCAAACTGCTGCTGGGAGACTAAACACACACGTGCAAACTGCCCACATGAGGAAGAGCACACTGACACGGTCCACAAGCCCTTCCAAGCTCAACCAGGCAACATGGTAAACTTGGAAAACCAAGATTGTGCACCCGCTAGGACACAAGGCAAAAGACTCATTCAGTTCAACACCAGCTGCATTTAGCCTGGAGTTTGCCTTCAGGCTTTATTTTTGAAACCAGGAGTAGAGAAAACCATCTCAGATTTGAAAACACATCCAGCAACATATAACAGAAAGAAAGAAACAGTCATTTTAATTCACGCTTCCCTCTTGGAGGTATACCTCAGTTGCTGCTGCCTCCCTGTGAACTCCAGCGAGAACCAAGCAGGGTTTCAGCTATGCAGGTAACACTGATGTGCTGCATGTGGGGCACACACACAAACCCCACATCTCACAACCGTAAAACATTACAGCCTGAGACCATTGCCCTTGAAACTACAGACACAGTCAAAGAAACTGGATGTGGCCAAAGCCCAGCAGCCCCGAAAAGCCCCTCTGCAGCTTAGACACCAAAATCATAGCCAAGCTCTCAAAAGCATGCAAGACCAAATAGCCTTGCTGGAGCTGACCTCTTTTGAAAATCTGAAGCAGTCTGTCAGTGATATTGCACTTAAAAAATAGATTATTTTGAAATTTTAGCTCAATCTGTAATTTCCCAAGTATTTAAAGTCTTCAGTTAGATTGTTTGTTTAGTTAACAAGGTGTAATAGAGAGCTTTTCCATCGCAAAAGAGAAACAAAGATACAAGCTTTAAATCTTACCTGCAGCTACTGAATTGTAACTCCCAAACTAAGCAAGAGGAGGACGCAGAAAAGCATCTGGATTCTCACTTAAGAAGTCCCTGAAGTAATACCCACCCATCTGTAACCTAATCCTTTCAGCGAGGAACTATCCACAGAGTGCGAACAAACGATGACGAACAAATGATGAAAAGTCAAATTGCCAACAATCATCCTCAGTAATTACCTGCAATTCTGCCTGGCACTAGTTTCTGCAATGTAAGTGTATCTGGAGCAGCATTCTGAATTAAATTAAATTCCTGATATAAAGATAATTAAAAACAAAGAAGAATCCCTGAATGTCACACTGAAATATATACTTAAATACAGACCTAGGTAAACAACATTTTTAAAGGATGCTTTGGGAGAAAATAATGTACTTTCCCAGTGCAAAAGAATCAATGTTAATGATTTTTTGTCTTAATTGTCTTTCCAGATTTCTGCCATGCTGCTTACAAATTAGTTTTTACCTTACATGACACTGTGAAATACGCACTAATATCTTCTATATTGACAAATACTTCGAAGGCTGATGCTTGCTTTCAACTATATAGTAGTCATTGTCAGAAAAAGAGAAAGAGAACGCTATACTCGGCAAAACCAGAGACTGCTCAATGTCGTCAAGGAAAAAAACAGTGCTAATGGTTAACTTTTTTTTTTTAAAA